GTGGTATACAGCACCCGCGAAGTGGGGCAACCGGACAGTTCCTCTGCCACACTTGTTTTGGATTCCTGGATGACACATGCACAGCCAGAAGAAGCAGCTTCTGGGATGGAGACCTCAACAGGATGCTGATCAAGAACTGGTCAAACCAGCCACACAAAGATGACTAGTGCCTTGCACATACTGCAAAATGTGTCCTGTACAAGTTATAAAAAGACAAACCGACAAGTCTCTGGCAAGGATGAAATCAACTGATCGTGGTGGCACTAACAGCTTTTACCATCCTTCATACAGGAATAAGGCATGTTAGGAGCTTGAAGTTGCAGTGGAACCAGGACCAAGTCAATTCTTCCTGTTAGCATAGATATCTCTGTACTGCATCAGAAGACCAAAACTTCTTTTAAAAACAGGAAAATGTGACTATAAATAGCAATCCTGCTCCTGAAAGCCCTCGGACATCACTGTTGGTTTATTTTCTGATAAATATTCTCAGTATTAGGAATGGCAATTTTCAAAATCCACGCACCGTGAAAGAGGACTGGAACCAAATACTTAACACCTTTCATTTCTGACACCTGAACGCAGTACCCCAGAGTGATGCAACGCGTGGCTGAGCCTACACTTCACTTCCAAAACAACTTAAGCGGACTACTCAAAACTTTATTTGCGCAAGGACAAGCAGTCAGTATCTAACTCCTTTCAGCACACACTGTCTCAGCATTCCCTGAAAACTGCCACAGTGACTACATGAGAGGAGCAAGTTACGACCATGTGAGGCCAGAGAGCAGCACCAGCAGAGGTATGGGGCTCACAGAGGTGTCTCAGAAGTGGTGTCTGGCTTACAGCACAGCCAATGTTGGGCCGTGTTGATGTACAATACCGTACGAGAGCCAAAAATGAAAAACTCTGTTGGCTTTGCAGACTCATGCAATGTAGAAAAGAATGAGAAAAATAAGTTCTTTAATGTTTATGTTAAAATATTCTGCCATTTAATGGTAACTTTTAAAAGGATAAAAGACGTGTCTTCTCTTACATAGAAGTACCAGATGAAGCCTGAAAACCATAATACACAAAAAATAAGGATTCGCACTCCTTTTCACTCTAAACAGTACACAAAGTCCTAGTGTTGACAGCAAGGTCTGCTAGAAACTGCAAATGCCTCTCATCGTTTCAATTTTTTTCATCCCTATTTCCAACTCATTGCACAGTAAAAATTACTGAAAGTTAATACAATGTTTTCTCCTTCTCTCTTCAGAAAAACTTTTCCATTATTATTTATCTGGCAAAATCCAAGGCACAAGGGACAATGTATCTGCTCTGCTCTTTTCTTTTGTTTAAAGTTGTAGATATGGTTAAATTACATACACTTAACGAGATCAAAGCACATACAGATTATTGACCTGAGTTCTGTCAAAAGTGACAACGCCTTCATTTTGATGGGGCAATAAAAAAGGCCGTTCTAAGAGCAACCCTTTGGATGCTGTTTATTTAATTTAATAATTTCAATACTATTTCCCACTTTTATATTGACATTACATTGCTTCTAGTTCTGTACAGAAGGGATACAAAAGTGTTTCCGTAAAGAACATACACATAATGATTTCTGTTTTCTGAAATTCTGGTAATGCTTGTAGGATTCCAGAGAACATGAAAGAAGGAAAATACAGCTATGCACTGTGAAAGGTGCGGTCTGGGTTGTGGTTTCTTTTTTTTCTTTTAATCATTTCAGACATTATTTCAGTATTTACCTGAAGCACTTTACAAGTTAACAGAGAATCAGGTGGATGGTACACTAAGTAAGCTATAATTCAAACCTGGCTCAGCTGAAAGCAGATCTCATAGACCATTCTAATGCTATGCAATTATCACCTAGCAATATATTCAGCACTTCAAAAGCATCAATGCAGCACTTTAAAATGCAATTATTTAAAATGAACTTTCTTAATTTACAAATTTTAAAGATTAAAACATCCAACTGAGCCATTTGCTATCCAAAGAACTTAAACTGCTATTACTGTCATCCCACTTCAGATGCAATTGAGCAGATGAGAGTGCTGACTTGTGCAACGGCGTTTTCCAGACATTGTTACACTTGCACTCCAAACAGCTTCTGTTTCTTCACCTACTTATAGTGAAAAGCTGAATTTCAAAGGTAATTTCAAAAGTATCTCCAAATCACAACTTAAAATTTCAATATAACTAAATGGCTACAGTAACATCATTATTACGTAAAAATAGGTGGAAAAATGATTCCATGGCAGCTACAATAAAAATAAATACTTATTTATTTTGGGTTCATGAACACCACTAATAGACAGGAGATTCCGTTAAAATAGACTTAACTGATCATCATTGTGGCTCTTTTGTTATGTTGGTGGCAAAGTAGCCTACTACAGCAAACTCAACATAGCATTTCTACTGGTTCACCTTATTGAACAAAGCAAAGTTGTTTCAGCTGACTGTCCTTCTTCTTTAGATACCTATCTGAAACAGAGAACCTGATTTGCAAAAGTGAACATCATTACTTCTCACTAGGCATGCATGCAGTTTGTTTCAGTAGATTTTTTTTTTTTTTTAGATATTTGTACTTAATACATTGAAAATGTTTGTCTGTATATATTACTGGTTTCCCTATCCATATCAGTCTACTTTGAGATCACCGAGTAAGAGGTGCTACATAACACAGAAAATAAATAGTGCAGGAAAAGCACTTACTCCTGAAACACCAGCTTTCCCTTGTGCTTTCCATCTCAAGCCTGACTACGTTCAGGAAGACATTCTAGAAACCTGAAGGCTGTTTAATCCACTTTCCTCCCAACTCTTTAGCTTTGACTGAATCAGTCAATAAGACTGCCAAGTAGTATGGTCCACCATCTATTAAAAAGGAACCAATTTGACTCTCTTTGCTTCACAGCAACATAAACATACACCTAATATCTACCCAAAACTTAAGACAGAATGGAAGTAGCAGGTAAAAGATAAGGCTTATTTTTCACACCTCAATGTTTCTGTACTCAACCTGGAACACTTCCCCAGTTTTGAAGTAAAATAACCAATTTTTTTATGACACAAACTTCACGGTCTGCTTACTTGTGAATTACTTACAGTGAATGTTACCTGTGCTTTCAACACCAATAAGCATGCCACCACATACAACTCACAGAAGTGTTCATAAGTTCTAAATACAATTCCAGTGTATTACAATTGTATTTTCATAGTCATAGGTACATATACTCCACATTCCATTATTACAGTACTGCATGTTAACTTACCGTAAGACTACTTAAATCCCCCACACACCCCCAGCTCCATTTTTTTACAAAATCCTACCAGTCTTAATACATTTGCATATGGAAAACATATGAGTTTATTTTCCCTATTCCGCCTGTCAAAAAATATTTTCTGGGAAAATAATATGACAATAATAAACTAAACCACTGGTTCAAGTTTCTAAGAAACTGCACTTTGATAAATGTATAAAGTAAAAATCATGGCATGCATGATTTATCTCTTACATGATTGGGGACAGTTCAACAATTTGTTAAATCTAAACAACAATCCACTAATACAGGACAGAGCATGTATTCACTGTCCAAATTACCTGCTCATCAAGTAAAGATTTTTGGCAGAAGTGCACTTCCCCCCCCCCCAAAAAACAACAACAACAAAAGATGACAAATATGTTTTTTTTATCAATGAATAGTTTAAAGCCTTTTTTAATCAGCAAAGCAGGAATATGTAGGGTTGGTTTACTGATGTAAAGCTTCTGGTCCAAATTTCAACAGAATTAGGTAAAATACTACTTTAAAACTAAAGTAAGTGTTTTAAAATGGAAATGCTAATTCTTAAACCACAAAATTATTGGTGCAAGACTGTTTCTTCTCTCTTCTGTATCACAATGGTGAATCTCTAAGTCAACATAAAGCAAAGTTGAAGGTCCAGTGTTCTTGAGTATGTCACATCATCATACTAAACCAAGTAGACTTAAAATCTTCTGCACTCCAGAATCATCCTTCCTTTCCTCCCTGACCTGACATATACTGCAATTTTACAGCTAAATCTACAATTTTACAGCAATGTTATAATGTTGAAGTAAAATGCAGAGTAGTGAGCTTTGTCAACTGGCATATATTTAAAGCAGGCAACAACAATAATAATCAAGAAGTGGTAAATCCTTCCAAATTATCTGCAGTGAGAGCCTTATCCTCATCCCACCAAAAACGGCATAACCTCACCTACTGCAATGGAAACGTTGGACTACTGAAAATATCTTCTTTATATCTTAAAAAGGGGGTTCACAAATCAAAATAATTGACACTTCATGTGATAGTGGACTTCTCAAGAGAGTACAAAAGACTATGAAGTAAAGCTGAATACAAGTACCAATCTCAAAGCAATGCCAAAGAGTAGCACGTACACAACAATTAAGAGGACCACGTTCCCTCTGTGCCACTATCAGTGAATAGAATGCTCCGCTGCTGTAAGGAAGTTGTGCAAAAAAACCCACAGGTGCTTGCAAAGCTCTTTCTGTTGTTTCCTATAAAACATGACCCTCAAGTCTATGCAAAACAGAGGAATGACTCCCAATGTTTTTCTTGTGTACAAGATTGCATATAGTGAAACAAGGCCTGCATTTCAGTCATTCATTACATGTCGCAGGTTTTCAGCTGGAAGTGCAATTACAAGGTTTATGTCTAAAAATCTGCAAAAATTATTCTGGATTCCAGTAAGTGACACTAACATCAGCATATGTACGCTGTGCCAAATGAAACTTGATTGCTCAGCCCTGCAATTACCTTTGCAACAGTCCCCCTGAACGTTAAATAATTATCATCCCATTTTAAATGGAAAAGGAAACAAGACCTGGAAGATTTGAAAAAGTCCCCTACAAAATCTGTCTCTGATCTTACAATACAACATAGAAGTACCTACATTATTACCTATAATTAGAAATATATTGTTCAAAGATTAGAGACCGTAAATGTAAGCATGCGTCTACTCACCTACAGTATACCAACTAGCATCTGTCAACTTGCTGATGACAGCTTCTTGAAAGGATCCGTCAGGCATTTTGGTTTCAACCATTGCACCAACCTGCAAAAAGAAGTATCTCAAGGTTACATGTAATCCTGAACTCATAACAGAGAAAAAGACACGTAGGCATTAATTCTTCCAGCAAGCTAGATTTTTTTTTTTAAAGACCCATTTTAGCTAAATGTTACTTTGTAAAGTTTGGTTACTTAGCGGGGAAGAACAAAGGTCCTTAACTATGAAAGCTGAACTGCAAGCAGACAGTAAAGCAGTTAGAAACTCAGAAGATCTGATTTCATTATGACTTACATCATCAGAAGAAATAATAGTAGGCTAACTGGAAATAAATGTTCAAATATTCAATCAAAGTAATTATTACTTTATTACTGATGTGCATGCAACGACTACTATTTCTTATACTTTAAACATTGTTATACTGCAGCTAAATCAGAGTTTCAGTAGCAGCATACAACATACATTGGTGTTCTTGCAGTATCTAGGGAAAAGACAAAGACAAAAAAAGATGATCTGCGCTAAAGCTCTATTTGCAGTCAGTGTTTTATAATGCAGCTATATATTTTAGCAGATAACCACTACATATGTGTTGGTTTGTATCTTTATATTTTTATGTAAAATATTTAAACTATTTTAAAACACAGGTAGAGCAATTGTACTTACTACTAACAGGCTTGAACTTCGCTTTGTAATCAACTTCTCCATTACTTACAAGTTTCAAAGTTTCATTATGTATAAGAAGTTTTGTATCTTATAATTAGATATAAAAATCACTGTGCGTGCAAAACTGTTTGCGCATGAAGTATACTACATGGAGAAGCATAAAAAGCCTCAATAAACTACAAGAGTTAAGACTAGTTACTTAGGATCAATCTGATCTAAAGCAATAAGCCTCCTCCTGTTGATTTAAATTCTGTAGAACAGGTATTCACATAAACAGCATCAGAATTTAGAATTTTACAAATCAATTGTGTGATTACAAAAAAAAAAGGCATGCAATATACATACTCTTAGAGGTCCTTTCACTTGGTCATCCTGCACTAACTGAGTTGAGTTATCCCCCTTCAGGACCACCTGAAAGACATTCAAAAACATTTTTATATATCTTTTATTTTTAATAGCAAAGAAATATCATATGAAACTGTATCTATAATGATAATTTGGAAAATAAGATCTTTATCAATCAAATGGACTCGAACGTTATTGAACACAAAACGCTTGGCATGGATGCTTTTACTCACAGGAAGTTCCAAGTATCACATTTAATATTTAATCTGAAACATCATAATTAAAGAACAGGACAAAACAAATACCAGCCATTCCAAGGCTAAGAAAATACATTTTGATGTGAGTTTGGATATTGATACAATCCAGGGCATACCTGGAACTCGGCTGCCAGATCAGAAGATTAAGCAGGCTTTTTCTCTCTCTCTACTTCAACTGTAGCACTTTATGAACAACACATTGAGTACTAAACTACAACCAAAATAAAAAGATCTTTTTATTAAATACGTATCAAAAAACCACTGAACTGACTGCAATACCACCATTTCTGCTACCTTGAGCAAGAGAAAGTGTTTATGGTAAAGATGTGAAGCACTACAAGTGTAACGAAAATAAGGATCAGCTACAGTGCAAGCAAACTATGCTTCTGCCTTAAAATCCCGTGTTCGAGAAGGTCACACCAATGAGACAAAGTGGGTGTAAGCTTAAGCAGTTTGAACCCCTGACTTTGGAGAAACTCAGTTAGAAACATAAAAGATGAATATTTAGATGTCAACACTATTAACTGTTTCACTGCTGTTTGTTATAGCAAAAACACCTACAGTGCTTTAATTTAAAAAAAAAAACAACAAAACCAAACAACAAAATATCCAAAATTCCCATTTCTTTACAGGAATCAAAAGTCCCAGGAGCTTCCTTTCCACCTATAACGATGTCTAGTTTTCTAGCTCCCCCAACTATCCCCCAACCATAGTCTACACTGTAGCTGTATTTATAAACAAAACACTAGTGGTATGCTAAAATAGAGTTGCTATCAACATTCAGGTTAATAATGCAGTTTATGCCATTTTTATTTAAAATTAATAATGCAGTTTATGCCATTTTTATTTAAAATGTTATATCGGCATTGAGATGAATACAAGCTGTCCTGCTACTCAGGAAGAGACTACTGGACTTTCTGAATTCTTTGCATCCTCGGCAAGCATGCCAGGGTCTTAATTACAATATCAGGCTTAGCTTGTTAAAACTTCAACCGTTATAATAAAATTGAGATACAGTGACAGGAATTTCCAACAAATCACAGCAGCCTCACCTACTTCCAAATCTTATCATGGAGTAATACAGCATATGATTCTAATGAGAAAAAGAAACTCACACCTACTAACAGTCTTAAATACTCTATCAGACCAAAAATACAGATACAAAATCACTGATGTCAGACTAGGAAGGGCAGCACACTGCTTCCTACAGAGTTTCTCACTAACACAGGTTTCAAAGAACATCACAAATTTCTAAGAGCACTTACTAAGAACAGGGGAAAAGACTCCAAGATCTGAACTGTGGAGTTTTTTTGCATCACGGAGAGCCCTCTGATAAAGTGATATGATCTATATATATAACTGAAGAGGCTGATAGCTTGTTCTACTTGATCTAAGCATTAAAGCACATAAAAACTTAGATGTGTAGTTATAAAAAGAAGCTTTCATCTCTATTTGTTAAGGGGGTTTGGGTCACTAATGGCTTATTTACATATCCTGGACAGTAGACAAGAAAATAGGAAGTGGGGGGATTTTGACAAAACAAAGCAGAAGAAAAATTTCTATTTATACTTTGAATTCTTAACTCTTATTTAACTACATTTTATTCTTGTTTTCACATACTAGCATTAACAACAGTACTACAAAAGCAAAATAATGATTTTCTTTTTTGTTTGTTTTGGCCTAAGACCTGTAAAAGTGGATGAATATTATGTGTCAGTACTATGTATGTGTAGAAACTCAGGTACAGCCAGAGCATGTTGTTTTAGAAGCAGCAGCAGGATGCTCAAAACTTAACAAATGTTACCCTGGACATTTCTGAAACCTGGTCTAAGAAACTAATTATTGCTATCTTTTTTTGCTCTTATGTTGATTTATTTTGGCACTGCCTCTTAAATTCCAAGCTATAAAACTGAGAATGTCAGCTGGAATGAAGTGGAACCTTTGCTTCTGAAGAGGTTGTTCTTATTCCTTATTACTCATGTAAAGCCATAATCCTCTCTTTGCGACATCAAAACTGATTGCTGTGAAACCGATGCATTCACAAACAGAAGACAACCACGATCAGGAAAGAAGTAGCAAGAACAGGTAATTTGAAAGCTCATTCTTGTTCCAGCATGCTCCTAGAAAACTGAAAAAAACCCAACCATACACACCCCCTGTAATGAGAGCAAAAGACAAACAAAAACCACCCCAAACCCAACACCAAAATATGAAAAACAATATTCAAGTGTTCTTTAAAACTCATACAGTGAGGTGACGACCATTTCCTAATCTTCAGGAGTACGATGTCCTCCGACAGTCCTCTCAACACAATGCTTTAATAAAATCAGCAACAACCACAGTATACTACCTTGACTTTCACAAGCCTTTTCACTGTCTTAATCTTTGCCTCACAGAAGGCACCACGGTACTTGGCACTGACATCAGTTCCCACTGTCAGGTAGGCAGGCTCATCCGCTGCCTATTAAGAAACAAAAAATAAGAACAAAATTTAGTTCTTCTCAGTTATTTTTACAGCTATGTCCTTATATATTCATTTCACATCTAAACTTTTAGACCTATTGACTTTTAAGTGATAAACAACATCTGTACAACATCAGAATTACAATCAGACTGTTCTTTAAAAGGGGGAGGGAAAAAAGAAACCAACAAGTTAAAGGAACTTTTGTTTTACCAGGGATAGTGACCCCCCCCCCCCCGCAATTGGTCAGCCTAATTACTCTCCCAGAAATATCCTTGAGTATTGAACTAATATTTGGAAAAAATCCTTATAAAAAGGGTAATACTAAATAGCAGCAACTATTAATTCAAGTCATTCCTATACAGCATACAAAAGGAAAATATTTCAACTGCAATAATGCAGTATGAAAGATAGCTGTACTTTTTTCGGGTATAAGCAATACAATGGTACAGATTATTTAAAACATTTGAGATTGCTATCATCCCAATACTTACAGTTAAGTGTAAAACATTTGATATAGAGGATTTTTTTTCAAAAAAAAAGACTAAAAGGAGAACTCTAGAGAAATTTGTTGTAATCTTTCTAACAGCTGTTAACTAGTATTTTTATTTCCTGAAATACCTTTATCAAAGCTTAATTGCTAAGGTATAGTAAGAAAAAGAAATACTTTTCATCATGTTTTCCATAATCTGGACTTTATTACTCAAGTTTCCACTTTATTACGCTTGTAGCAACTGATAAACAAGGACAAAACTACCACATTGAAAATAACGATCATGACAGGAAATCAGCACAAAATATTAAATAACTGGCTTTCTGTTACGGGTATTGTTTTGGGGTTTTTTGTTACTATTTCTTTAACTCAAGGAAAAAAAAAAAAGTTTTTCTCTCTTGTGAAGTATACTGCAATTGTTAAGCCTTTGTACTGAAAAAAAAAAAGGCAACAGCTAAGGCGGGACAAAAAGCTTGTGGTTTTGCAAACTTGCAACAGCAGCTGCTGATATAGGAAGCATTTAAAGACAGTAGCCCAAAGGACAACAACTCAAAGAGACGTCGTGAATTTTCAGACTACTACTGCACGACGACGACGACAAGAGCTTCGCTCACCCGCAGCTCGGGAGGAGAGCAGAAACAGGATCTGCAGCATGCACCCAAACCCCGGCCAGCGTTACCCTACTGTTGCTCAGTCGAGACGTACGATTAGAAACAAATTAAAAATAAATAAATGAAATCTCCAGAGCAGCGAGCGAGTGGTAAAAAGGAGCCGTTCCCCGCTCCGGAGTCACCCTACCTTCATCTTTAAAGGTTATTTGAGGGATTCCAGCTCAAAAGACTTCTCCTCCCCGCGAGCACACGGGAAAACACTGCAAAACAAGAAGCGGGGGGG